GTGAATTTATACACAAACTTAAGCCTAATCCAAATGGTTTTGAATTAATAAAGTCAGTAGTTCAAGAAAGCAATGATGCTGGTTTAAAAGGGGGCAAATGGTTAAATACAAGAGTATAATTAGAGGTAAATCATGGCCAACACGACTTTTCTTCTTGTTAACTTTTACCCACAGTCCTGTGATTTTCTTCCCAAATGCTTCCTAATCATACCTCCTACATTCTTCTTCCAGGTCCCAATGTACATTTTCTCTGTTTCATATTTGCTCTACTTCTGCAGGTGGACTATTGTCATTGTATAGGGGAAGCAAGGGACTGATTTCTACTGTTATTCTATAGGGCCCACGTGTTACACTGTGGCTTGTCAAATAGCTCTATGAAGACTACAGGCTATATTCTAGCATTCTCTGTTGGAAGAAGTCAGTGGTCATGATTTTGTTTACGTTCATAGTATACAATTGTCAAAACTGACTTTAGTGGAGCCATTTTAAAATGGTGTCAGAGCTGCCTTTCCAGAAAAACTACCTTACTGTTTTAAATCTTGGACTGGGCCAAACCTTTGGACTGGGCCCAAATGGCAACTGTTTTACAAGCAACTGTTTGTGAAGTCAGCAAAAGAACAAACATCTTGCTCACAAAGACTGTTGATTGTGGACTTTCTGAAGATAGAATCAATAGTTGATCAATGTTTAGCCAAGACTAGCTCTCTGCCTCCAACTCCAATTAAAATTCTTTGTAATATAACCCCCTTTCTTTGTCTTTAAAAGCCCCTGACTACTAATCCCTAGCAGGACACTATGTGGGTTTCTACCTGAATCTGTGCTCCTTGAAATGCAGTTCTTTGATCCCAAATAAACTCTTCGCCTCTTAAACGGGTTTCTGATTTTGAAGCTTGACATATGGTGTCAGAAGTGGGATCTGAAGCGCTCTCACCTTCGGGACCACTGTCCCCTGGAAACGGGTTTGGTACCCACATGAGTCCCTTGTGCTCACTCCTTCCACAGATCACCGGCTTGTCCAATCCTGAGTCCCCTCAGGGATCTGACCTCCTCCCTTTTGGTTGAAGTCTTTGCCTTTCTTTGGAATTCTGGGGGCAATAGCCCAATCTGGGGTAGATCGACCAGGAGACAACTGTCTGCAAGCTGGCTCACTCTATTGCTGTCTAGAAGGGTTTCTCTGAGCTGGCTCACGGCAGCTCATGGCTGTTGTCGTCTGTAAGGGTTTATCCCCTATCAGGTGAGTACTCAAATTCTGTGTTTCTGCTGTTTGTCCAAACAGCTGTAGCTAGTGGGTCAGAAGCAAAGGTAACAACGGGGGTTGCAACTGGTGTCTCTTTGTCTCGCTGTGCTTTAACATAGGAATTTCATCTTCTAAAAGTTCCTGAGAAGTTTCTCCCTTGGGCACTCCAGCTGGGTTTATATTTAAGAACTATGGTCCTTCCTCTTGTAAATTTTTGTCCCAGTGGACTGACAATACAAAAGATGACTTGTAATTACAGTGGTCACTTTGGGGTTCCTTTGAGCTTCCAAAACCTGTCTTTTTGTGCACTAGATTTGAGAATCATGGACCTGACAAATTGAATGCAATCTTTAATTTCTAAGGAATCAAGCATGTGACCTTCCTGCACATCTGCTTAAAAATGATGGTCCTGGAAGCTGTAAATATTTACCAAGAACAGCAAAATCTTACTAAGCTTGTTTTGTGTCCTGAGAACTTGGCTTGGTAACCAGCAGGATGGGGGCCCCAAAATATGATCAGAAAGAAATGTGGGTTGCACCTCATTTGCAGCCAGATGTGGCTGGGAAGAAATGGGGGTTGAACTCCATTTGTGGCTAGGGTCCTACCAAACTGCTGCCAGACCTCAG